CTAGTATTTCTCAAAACAATCCATTCTTTCACCCACATCAATGTAACTGCCTGGTAGTATAAGGACATGGGTATTTTAGGAGACATTATATTCGAGATGCTTTATTGTCAACATGGGAGAAAATAAGGAAACAACATTATATGAAAATACCAGTCTGGTTATCAACAATAGAGGCATTTGCGTATCCTATTGTTTTCAAAATGGAACACATAGTTAGATATAGTGAAATTTTAAATGAAAGGGGTGAACTCAAAACAAAGCAAGAATTAGATGAACAAGAGATAAAGTATTCATATGTGCAAATACATTCTAGATATCATAAAGATAGTAAGACAGAAGGGTTTTACCAAGAACTTACTGAATTAGATAAAATCTTAACAGGTACTGGGGAGAGGATGATTAAAAAATTATATGGTTATTTACTAGGAGTGAAATTAGAAGAACAAGTTAAAGAAACAATGATTGCTTGGGGGGGGATTTTGGATCCCCCCCAAGAAAGATTAGGGACAGAAATTATGGACTAGAAATTATACATAAACAATGCCGACAGCATATAAAGAGAATTTGTATAAGATGTTTTACAGGCGGGATTTACCCCCAGCAAGAATAGCAAAGATGTTCAAGAATAAATCGGTGAAGTGTTGGAAATGTCATCAGATGCCTGGATCATATTACCATATGTGGTGGACATATGCAGAAACTAAAAGATACTGGACTAAAATACACACATGGCTGGAAAAAATGACAAAACAGCATATAGACTTAAAACCAGAGACATTTTTATTGGGAATTTTACCTGAAGGTTACAACAGAGAATTGACATACTTGATTATTAATGTTTTAACTGTCGCTAGAATTGTATTTGCTCAAAATGGGAAAAACGAGAAAATTCTGATAGAGGAAGTGATAGAGGAAGAATGGAATGTGCAGAAATGAGTAGATTAACATTAGCAATTAGAGAACAAGAAGAAAAAGAGTAGTATAAGATATGGGACTTATTTTATCAATGGTTAGATAGAAAAGTAGGAAACTGAAGTATAATACAATAGCAATGATATGTTATAATTGATTACTTCGGAATGAATTATAATATGAATTAAAATTAGTAAGAACTGAGGTTTGCTCTAAAGGATAATGTGGATTTGAAATTAAAGTCTAATGATGATGTAATAATAATATAATATTACATGGAAAGTTGATTAATGCAATATGAATGTAAATTTAAGAGGAAAAGACTATAGATATTGTGCACAAGAAATATGTACCAACCGACACACTGTATAATTGAAAGAAGGTTTTATTTGTTGTTCTATGCTTATGTTTGCTGTTAAAAATAAAAAACTTTTTGGGAAAAGAAAAAGAAAATTGATCATGGCTTTTGCATGGCTGTTTTGTTTTTGTTTTTTTGTATTTATTACCTGAACTTCAAGCCAGCCATGGTGTTTTGACACTGTTCTCTCTTTCTTATAGAAAGTAATCTAATGGAATTGTTTGTGAGCAGTAGAGACAAATTAGTCTCCCACATACGAGGTGGGAATATATCAAGAAGGCTCCTCGTGTACATTTTCCATGTAAGGTTCATCATTTTGGATTAGAACATACTAAATAAATAAACCTTAATCAGCCATTTTACTAATTTATCATTTTAATGCCCTCTATAATATTAATCCTGATGAAAAAGAAAACGTGAATTGGCTTCAAATAACGCAGTTCCTTTTAAATAATCTGGTTCTCTTGGCCCAATCTATCTCAGAATTGTGAGGAAAAACAGGAAGACAAAAGATTTAGCCATGATGCCTTTAGCTCCTGAATAACAGGTGGGACATAAATCACTAACTAAAAATATAAGCCAATCCACCTATTATGCAGTTCAAGTTTGGGACAAAAATAATAATCCCAGATGCGGTGGTTGAAGAACATTCCAGTATGTCCTTAAACAATGGCCCTCAATGTCTTAATTAATTTTAAATGCCAAAGACCACAAATCCCAGAGATTTAGCTGTCAACGCAAGAAAAGAGAAGTAGATGATCTACTTCAGGGCAGCAGTGGTGGGAGCAAAAGGCAAGTGAAAGGCAAGTGGCAAGGGGTGTGAAAGGAGAGCAGTGGCGACGGGAGTAAAAGGAGAGCAATGGGGGAGGGGCGAAAGGAGAGCAGCAGCAGTGGCGGAAGCAAAAGGCGAAAGGAGAAGGGCGGTGAAAGGAGAGCAGCGGCGGTGTACTGGGGCAGGGGGGATACAGCGGCAGCGAGGCAGCAATGGCGTGGTGGCAAGGAAGGCAATGGCAGAGATTCCGATGGCGTTGGGGCTTCCGGGACCAGCTCCCCCCCTGCAGCCCATCAGAGGTTCACATGCTCTGTTCCCCGCAGCCGCCCATCAGCTGTCATGGACTCCATTCCAGGGGTGCCTTGCCGAAAGACTCTCTCGCTCTCGCAGCAAGAGCAGTGGCGGAGAGAAGCAGCTGCTGATCCATATGGCGCCGCTCCACATGCTCTCCGGCGACCCGTTTCTCTCCCCTGCTGCTCTAGCTGGGGGAGCGAGAGAGTGTTTTGCGGCAGAGTGGAATTTAGCTTTTACAAGTCCCACTCCCATCGGAAAATGGCTCCAGGCAGCAGAGAGAAACAGGATTCAACCTGGTTGCTTCTCTGCCACCCACAGCCCTTTCCCGATGGGAGTGGGACTTGCTGCACTTGCAGGACCCAAAGCTAAATTTCGCTGTGCCGGTTCTTGTTCTCCCAGCAAGAGCAGCAGGGGAGAGAAGCAGCTGCTGATCCGGAGACCACATGGAGCTGCACCATGTGTGCTCTGGCAACCTGTCAGCGGTGGCGGCAAAAGGCAAGCATGGCAGTGGGGGAAAGCAGGGGGGGAGGGAAGGCGGGTGGCGGCAAAAGACAAGCATGGCGGGGCCAGCCAGAATTATCATTATCGGTTCGCCCGAACCAATTAGAACCGGCACAATCCCACCACTGCTCCCACTTCTACCCTTTTGCCTCATTGTGCACTCTCTGATGGAATTTGAGGCTGCTTGACTAGGAAAATCATTTTCCCCACATCAAATATTTGTAGGATTTCCTTTCTGTCACTGTGCGAAGTTCCTGGTAAACGCTAACATGTGAATGTTGGGGGAAAAAGGGTTCCCAACGTTGTTCACTGCTAAAGAGATTTATCTCTGCTATGGACTTTCTGGTGCTTTTTTAGCTTTGATTTACTAGGAAAAGGTTTCTCACACTCTACACACATGTGAGGCCACTTTCTTGCATGAGTTTGGGTGTGACTGCGAAGTGATGAAGATTGGGCAAAACATTTCCCACACTCCAGGCATTTATATGGTTTTTCTCCAGTGTGGATTCGTTGATGCATCACAAGAGTACCTTTCAGTGAAAAACATTTATCGCACTCTGAGCATTTGTGAGGTTTCTCTCCTGTATGGATTTGGCTGTGCCTTCTAAGGGAAGAAGAATCAGCAAATGTCCTCCCACATTCCAAACATTTGTAATTTTTTTCCCCTGTGTGGATTTTCACATGACTTCCAAGGGCTGAAGAGGTACGATAAAATTTTCCACATTCATTGCATTGATATGGCTTCTCCCCTGTGTGGGTTTTATGATGTCTCCAAAGATCTGCCTTCAGTCCAAAATATTTTTCACATTCTATGCATCTGTAGGGCTTCTCCCCCGTGTGGATTTTCTGATGCCTTCCAAGGTTGCTCTTATTTCCAAAACATTTTCCACATTCTACGCAGCTGTAGGGTTTCTCTCCAGTGTGGATCCTCTGATGCCTTCCAAGGTCGCATTTTTGGTTAAAGCATTTCCCACACTCCCCACATTTGTACGGCTTCTCCCCTGTGTGGATTCTCTGATGAATCTGAACACGGTACTGAGAAATAAAACCTTTCCCACACTCCTCACATTTATAGGGTTTCTCCTCTTTGTGCCATTCCTGATGTCTCTGAAGTTCAGAAGAATTTATAAATCGTTTCTCACATTCTGGGCATTCATAGGGTCTCTCTCCAGTGTGGAGTTTCTGATGTCGCATCAGATGTGATTTGTGGGCAAAACATTTTCCACATTCAAGGCACTTTTCGTTTTTCTCCCCTCTGTGTGTTTTCCAATGACACCGAAGACCTGAACCCTCGGTGAAACATTTTCCACACTCAAAGCATTTGTAAGGTTTGATTCCTGTATGAAATTTCTCATGACTACGAAGACCTGACTTCCAATAAAAGTTCTTCCCACATTCCCAACACTTGTAAGGTTTTTCCCCTGTGTGAATCCTCTCGTGGTCTTGGAGAGTGGCTTTTTGACAGAAATATTTCCCACATTCCAGACATTTGTAAGGTTTCTCTCCAGGGTGGATTTTCTGATGTCTAAGAAGGCCTGACTTTTGACCAAAGGACAAGTCACATTTGACACATTTATAGGGTTTTAATGTGGGGGGGCTTCTGAGATCTTTGGTGTCTTTGCCAGGGAAGGACTTGTCAGCCTCAAGATCTTGACTGGATTCACTTCCCGCATGGACCTTCCTGTGGGTCAAAAGGAGGGACCTGCTAGTGAAGTATTTCCCACACTCTGAGCATTCATGGGTTCTTTGGTGGTTTTTCAGAGTGCTTCTTGTATCTGGCAGGGCATCCAAGAGCTTCCCACGCTTCATGCTTTCTGGCGGCTGCTGCCTTATGCTGATATTCTATTATCTGTTGAGAGTTGTCTTCCAGGTAAATCTTTGGCCACAGTGTATTATTGGCTGTTGGAAGGAAAAAGAAGCAAGAGAAAAATATTTCCTTTCCAGAAACGTAGAGAGAGTCACAAAATCTCTAGGAGGTAAACTTTTATACTGTTGTGGTCATTGTGGCTTTTTTGGGAGGGGGGGTTGTTAAGTGAAGGGAGACCCTGGCAAGACCTGCAGAGGTGCCTGAAGCGGGTGGGGGAGACCCTGGAGGTCCAGCACTTGGCCACACAATAGTTAGGAGAACTGCAGTGGGGTGCAAAAGTGCAGCCACCCCCAGATGCCTCAGTTGCCCCATCTGGCTCCTATAATGGGGCAGAAACGCCCATTAAATATGGTGCCTTAAATGGAGGCCTGGGGCCTTCAGCTGTTTCAGCCATCTGCCACTAACTCCAGGACTGGACTTCAGCCCATTGTCACCAGTGCCACTGAGAAAGGCAGCCTTAATCCCCAGACCTGAAGTAACATGTTCCGTACTGTTTCCAAGGTGGGCTGAAGCTCCTCTAATCTTCTCCATGACCCCTTAAGCAAGGGGTTGGATTCTTCCTCTTCAGACCAGTTCTATAGAACCAGTTGTTACGATTCGGCGCAGTTTGGAGAAACAGCAAATCCTGCCACTGGCTGGCCCCTCCCCTCCCACTCACTCCTTACCTGTCATGCTCACCCTCCAATTTGCCTGCCTTGTGCCTTCACCAAATATTTAGTTATTTGCTATTTTTCCTCCCCCCACCACTACCATCAGTTCTTCCATCTATCAGCTATGATATTTAGATTAGAAAGCATGACATTGAAAGAAAGCATGGCATTGTTGGATTTCTTGCTTTCTAGCTAATCTAAAAGCAGAGCTGAACCTTCTTAGGACCGAAGCTTTTATTTTTCAGTGCAGACTCAGGTAGCACATTGCAGAAAGATAGATCTCTGAGTGAATCTGTGATTCTGCAAGCAACTCAATCTGCCTGCTTTGACTGCTTTTGGGTAGTTGCTCTTTTTTTAAAAAAATAAAAAATTCAATGTTTACATAAATATATTTACATACAAGCCACACCCATCCAGTCACATGAACACCAAGCCACAGCCACAAATTAGGCCACACCCACAGAACCGGTTGTTAATAAATTTGAATCCCACCCCTGCTCTTAAGTCAAACTTGGACTGTGCTGGGACTCCAATGGCCTCCCCTGACCCCCAAGACAAACCCGTGATTATATCCACTTAATGACCAGTGAAATCATTTAACAACTGGAATGGTGAATGCAGAATTACACTAACTGAGCAAAGACATCATGTGATATTTGACAGTGACCACTTTGCTAAACAAGTGAGATTCCAATTCCATTTGTAGTCAAAAGTTGAAGACTACCTACAGGCAACCCAAAAGATTAAGGCATCGCAGAAAGAAAGGAGGAGGAAAGAGAGTTGAGGTTAGTGAAAGCAACCAATTTTTTTCCTCTGCTTTTCTTGATTTTTCCGATTTTTACACTTATGAGCTCCATCCCATCATGGCTTTGCTCTCAGTCTAGTGGCCCCCTCTTCCCTACATGCCTCACAGGTGTCCTTGAGTAGGAAGTGCCACACCTGCCTTGGGCAAGAAGGGAAGGGGACGGAGTAGCTGCTGGCTTCTCCATCAAGAGCTTCCCTTAGGGGGCCACACCTGGCTTTTCCACAACCCAGGGATTAGCACAAGACCCGGGAGGGTCTGAATTGCGGTCATCCCTCTGCGTTTCCTGTTAGGGATAACATTGTTTACCCTAACTGTTTTGGGTAAAAATAATAAATAAGTTATCATAGTTTGTTGGTAAAGTGTGTGTAACTTTAACTACAAGAATGTAATTAAGGGTGTGGTTGTAAAAGCACCATAAAAGAAGCAAGTCAATTGCAGCTCACTCTCTCTGGCTTAATTATCCCTAATTACTAGATGGATTGATGACTGCGTTTCTCCTTGCTGGAACTGGGGAGAGAAAGGAGTGTTGATTCTTCTCAACGGAGAGAAGAGATAATACAAGACTGATTTATTGTAAGTGAACTGACATTGGATAATCAACACGGACTTTTGCAAATTGAGTATCCCCGACTGGACTGACTGAAATGATACATGACTAATTGGACCGTTTATTTGACTATGCTATAATTCCTAATGGAATAAAAGATATTTTTGATAGCACAAGCGTATCTGTATTTTACTGCGTGTTAACTAAAATACAATCTTATCTCACACATTTACCTGTCTTCCTACCTGACTACGCTACACATTCTGTTTAACACCCGTTGGGGAATTCAGGCTTAACATTTCCTACCCAGATAGGAGAGAGGCTGGCCGATTCACTTGGGCCACCCCAGGTTGCTTGTCTTGATGCCGTGAACACAACCAAAAAGCTGTGGGTGTGTTTCTGTATTAGGAGGAGGAGTTCAGCCAGGCTACCCAAAAAGAGACTCAACCCTAGAAGATCAGATAGAAATGGAGGAGGGGGAAATGGCTCCGATTTGGCATTTCATCCTTCAGCATAGGATGAATGACAGCACAGGCACCCCGAAAAGAATCACTGCTGATCAGAGCAGATAAAGCTACGCAGAGCTTCCCAACATTTAAATCATCTTGTTTGTTATCCCTGGTCCTGAAAGCAATAGAAAAAAATAAAATAAAAATAAACCGACAATCTGGCTTAATCCTGGGGTAAATTGGATCCTACAGTTTCTGAAAGGGAGGGCTCACGGAATAGCTTCAGAAGGAAAAGACCCCAATAAAGGATCCCCAATAATGCATCCAGATGATTTCAATTAAAAGTTAAGCTTTAGAAGAAGACCTAAGCGCTTCAACTTACTAAACGGTGACTCCCAATGCATTATGGGACAAGGCCTAAACAGGAACAATCTGAGCTGTGACACGGCTTAATCCTGGGGAAAATTTGATCCTGCAGTTTCTGAAAGGGGGGGAGGGTCACTGAATAGCTTCGGATGGAAAAGCCCCCCAAAATGATCCAGAGAATTTCAATTAAAGTTGAAGCGTTAGGAGAAGGCCTAAGCCCTTCAGGCTACTAAACTGTCACTCCAAGTGCATTATGGGACAAGGTCTAAACAGGAACAATCCGCACACATCACAGCTAAAAATGTATCCCTGAAACAAGACCCACTTTGGGCTGAGGGAACATTTCCCCATAAAGGGACCAGATGAAGGTTGGGCAGGGGCTTCCCCACCTCCAGGTGAGTCCCCAGGCAGCCTCTTTCGGCTTCAGGGGTGCCTCCACCCAGCCGATGCGACTTCCCCACTTCGTGGCCTTCCACCCAGGGTCCACCTCCAACTCCACCAAGTGGGGCTTCTTACAACTAATATAGATTAAACAAAGTATGCCTTCACTCAGCACCTTGGCAGATAAACCCAATTTTATTGCCTTGCCACATAAAGATTTTTTTTAAAAAAGCTTATTTTCCAAACCAAGTTTCATTGACTCACCTTTAAAGTTACAGCTAAGAGGCCTCTGGGTCACTTGTCACCCCCTCCGAGTCAAGGCCAGGGATGACCCTCACTGCTGACCGGTTTTGGTTTCTCCTTCACTGACTTGGTCTTTTGGGCAGGAAGCTGCTTCTCCAATCAGGCCAAGATTTCCAAATGTTCTGGAACGGGAGTCCCGGGCCAATCTGATCCAAGAACGTCCCTTTCTCAAAGCTCTCTGGAGTTCACAGCCACATCTTCACTGATCTCCTGCAAAGAGAAATGAAAGAGACTCCAAACGCTGACCGTGATAAGGAACATAATCTAGCTGGGAAATTCGAACTCACTGAAGGTTGGTTTTTTTGCCTTTACAACACACCAAATGCTACTCTGGACAGGCACTTTAAAACCGTGCAAGGCAAACCTTCTGGCCACCAGCTTCTCCTAGGAGCTGCGCTCACAAGACCCGCCTCAAAACTTCCTCAAAGTTTGAGCTTTCTAAAATATCCGCCCAGGAGGGGGCTGCCCCATCACAGCCTCCCCGTTGCAACTGAAACCAGTCCGTGTTAATTCCACCTTGCATATCTCCAAAAAACAACAACCCCAAAACACCTTTTAAAGCTCCGTTTAGTCCATTTTCCCCAACTGCACTTGCAGGATACGCCATTCTCGGAGATATCATGCTCTGACGGATCACACAGAAAGCAACTTACCCAGAGAAGGCGGAGCTTAGTTTCGGTGATACAGCTGTAATCTCGGGGCTCCGAGATCACAGCTGATATTTTTGCCCCCGGTCGGTTCTAACGGACCTAAACCGTACCGTAGAGACGGTTACTGTGTAGGGAACATTTCCTGGATCCCAGGGACATCGCAAAGTCCCTGGTTCGATCCGGAAGAAGTCCTATTGCTGGCGGCGGAGAGGCAGCCTCCATAGCTGCTGAAGTTGGGACAGCTCCGGTAAGGAAGAGCTGAGAGTGAAAGTGTGTCGGCTGGGTGAGAAACTTTTTTTTTGCTAATTAGCTGAGTTTTGAAAGGACACTCTGGATATAAGAAGAAATCTGTGAGATTTTTTTTTGACAAAAACTGTATGAGCGGCGTTTTTTAAAGAGATGTCAAATTGAGGCTTGGATTTTTTTTTTCTATTTCTTACTCTTTTTTTGGAATTTCAGCGTGACTTTATAGTTTACCTGGACTGAATTTTCTGCTTAATTAAAAAAAAATATGTTTTTTTGGCTGGTGGGGGTGGGGAGTGGATTAAGAAACTTTGTAACACTGCCAACTAGAGGCTTGAAAATATTTCATTTGAATTGGAAAAGAACTATGAAAAGACTACTTCTCAAGGACATTACAATTTGATAAGATAGAGGGAGAGTGTAGCAAAATATTATTACAGGTGTTCTCCTGGACTCTTAATATTTCAACACTTGAGGCTTGGCCTTGAAGCTTGTTGAGAAGAGAGTCATAATAAGAGCCTTGGACAAATAAATAGAGTGTAGTGTTGTTGTTTTTTTCCTTATCTTTTTTCAGTTGTGTACCCTTACTCACCAGCCTCTCTGTAAACTTTAATTTTAGTAATATTCTTATTTTTGCTTTTTATTTTAAAGGGAAAGCCTCAGAATTTTTTTTTTATTTTTCTTTTCTTCTCCTTTTTTTTTTTTTACTGGGATTCTTTCTGCTTTTTTCATTTTTATTTTTTGACTGTTTTTTTTTTTTTTTTTTATTATTTTGCCTTTTCTTTTGGTTTTTTGTTTTTTTTTTTTGGGGGGGGGGGTTGGTTTTTTTTTTGCTTCCTTTTATTTTTCTATTTTTCATTTTTTACTTTGGACTACTTCATAATTGGATTAGGGTCTAGAAGAACCTGAAGATTTTCTTCTTCTTTTTCTCTTTTTTTGTTATTGGGCTTTTTATTATTGGATTTTTCCATTCTGGATTATAATTGGCTACTCTACCAGTTGGATTAAAAGCTAAAAAGAATTTGAAGGTCTTGAAGCATCAAAATGAGCAGAAAACCCATATCTTCTGGCGTTTCTACTTCTACCTTTGCCTCCCCACCAGCTGGACAACGCTTGATTCAGACAATGTTGAAGCAAGATAAAGAACAAGAAAAAGTGACTTTACAGATGATTATGCAAGGAATCCAAGATCTCAAGATAAAATCAGACGCCATTGAACAAAGAATAGAGAATATTGAAGAAAGAACAGGGAAGACTGATGAAAAAATTGAAAATATTCAACAAATGATGACGAAGTATGAGGAGAGATTCCAAAAAATTGAGGAAGAAGGTGCACAAAGAGAGGAGAAGATTGGAAATATTGATAGCAGATTAACAGTGGTTGAACAAGATAAAAGTGGGATGTTGAGGTGGGAGATGGAGAGGTCAGAATTCTATCTCAGATTTCAAAATATAGAAGAAGAAAAAGGAGAAAACTTGGCTGCGATAATGATAGAAATTTTGGCGGATGTGTTGGAAATTACAGAGGAAAAGATGATGGATGGAATAGATGAGGTATACCGAGTCTTTACAAGATATGCGATGAGAAATAAACTACCAAGGGAAGTTCATATTAGATTTACCAAAAAATCCATCAAAACACAAATACTACAAGTTGTAAGAGAGAAGATATTGAAATACAAAGGCAAAGAGATTGTGGTTTTAAAACAAATACCCAGAAGAGTGAGAGAGATGAGAAGAGAATATCGATTCCTGACCAAAATGTTATTGGATAAAGAAGTGAATTATAGATGGCTGATTCCAGAAGGATTAATGTTTACGTGGCAAGAACAGAGACATAGAATTGATTCAATTGAGAAAGCAAAACTTTTCTACGCAGAATTTTTTGGAAGGAGAGAAGCAGAGGCAGAGAAAGAGGTCTCATTAATTGAGTTTCAAGAGGAACAATTGGAGATTGAAGAAGAGGAAGGTGCAGTAGGTGGACAGGTGGATAGGAAAGAACAGCGTGAAGTGAGATCCACGAGAGCTGTTAGACCTAAATATAAAGCATAATCATGGAGGAAAAAAATTGATTACAATGAATATAAATGGACTTAATTCAGCTGTTAAAAGAAGGAAAACTTTTCATAAATTAGAGAAATTAAAATTTGATATAAATTGTTTACAAGAAGTACATATTAAAAAGCAACATGAACAATTGTTAGTACAACCAAAATTAGGGAAAATATTTACTTCTTTGACTCAATGTAAGAAAAGAGGAGTGGTTCTATACATTAAAGAGGTCATCCCAGCAAAATTGATCTATACGGATGAAGACGGAAGAGTATTAATGGTGGAAATAATGGACAATAACATAAAAATACTCTTGATTGCAATTTATGCTCCGAATGATAAACAAGAAGAATTTTATAAAAAATTACACATGAAAATAACTGGACTGGACTATGTTAATATAATTATGATGGGAGACTTTAATGGAATTGTGGACAATAAACTGGATTATATAGCAACAACAACAAAGCAAAATAGAAAGACTCTCCCTAAATCTTTTTTTAAAATGACAGATGAATTAACCTTAAAAGATATTTGGAGAGAAAGAAATGTTAAAGCTAAACAATTTACTTTTTATTCAAATAGACATTTATCATGGTCCAGATTGGATATGATTTGGATCTCATCAGAATTAATATCTAATATTCAAGAAACAAATATTGAAACAAGTACTTGGGCAGATCATAGCCCAATGACAATTAAATGGAAGGGACAAAAAAAAAGATCGAGATGGACATTAAACAATACTATTTTAAAGGAAAAAGATTTTACACAATGGATGGAGAAAGAATTGGTTTTTTTCTTTAGGGAAAATAAAAAAGAAGATACTTCATTGCAGAATGTTTGGGATACAATGAAGGCATATGTTAGAGGTTTGATAATAGATTATTTAAGAAGAAAGAACATTAGGAAAAGGCAAGCCACTAAGATCTTGGAAGATGAATATAAAAGACTTGAAAAAGAATTACAGAAAATGCCACAGAAAAGGAAATTAAATTGAAGTTGGATATAACTAAACATAAAATGGAATTAATAGAGAAAGAAGAATTGGCGCAGAAAATTAGAAATGCTAAACAGAATTATTTTGAAGACGCAAACAAACCAGGTAGATGGCTAGCATATAAATTGAGAAAAGAGAAAGAATCAAGAAAAATATTGAAGTTAATAGATGATCAAGGCCAAGTTTGTTATGGTAACAAGGAGAAAAAGGAAATTGTTCGAGATTTTTATGGGCAACTATATAAACAAGAGAATATTGATGAAGAAAAAGTTAAACAGTATTTACAGAATGCTAACCTACCGAAGATGCCTAAAGAGATTGAAGAAATGCTAGAAAGCAACATAACAATGATGGAATTAACTGAAGCACTTAAAAAACAAAATAATGGGAAAGCACCGGGTCCAGATGGGCTTCCGGCAGAATTCTATAAAACATTTCAAGAATCATTGAGCATTCCATTGCTTGAAGTTATGAATGAAGCTATGTCAAAGAAGATGATACCTAAAACATGGTCAGAGGCTTATATTACGCTTATTCCAAAAGAAGAGGCTGATCCACTGCAAATTAAGAACTATAGACCTATTTCTCTATTAAATGCAGACTATAAAATTTTTGCTTCAATTTTAGCAGAAAGACTTAAAAAATACTTAAATAATTTTATTCACCCAGATCAAAATGGATTTCTGCCAAAGAGACAAATTAGAGATAATATGAGAGTAATCTTGGATACTTTGGAATATTATGAGGCACATCCTGAAAAGCAAATGGCTTTGATATTTCTAGATGCTCAAAAGGCATTTGACAACGTGAACTGGAGATTTATGTTATTACTATTGGAACAGATGGGTTTTGCCAGAAAATTTGTCCGAGCAATAGAAGCCATATACAATAAACAGACAGCAAAGGTAATGATGGAGGGAGAACTTACAGATTTTATTAATATAAGAAAAGGCACAAGACAAGGATGTCCCCTATCTCCTTTGCTATTTGTATTGACTTTGGAAGTGTTGAATAGAAATATTAGAGATGATAAAAGCATAAAAGGAATGAAAATTAAAAAGGAAGAATTTAAACTGCAAGCTTTTGCTGACGACTTAGTCTTTATTTTGGAAGATCCGTTAGAAACAGCTCCAAAGTTA